TTTTTTGCTTACCGCTCTGATGTCCCACATAAAAATTCTTTGTCAGAAATAAACAGTACCCACGACAATCTGCCAGCAAAAAAATACTGACATCCACAATGACAACTAAATAACAACTGCTACAAATCGACAAATTGGCTTAACCCCAACCTGTAACCAATTGTATAAAAATGCCACAGGTAGCATTCAGACTCTGTCAACATATCAACTAAGCAACTAACCTAATCCCCAGAAAGTAAGCAAATTTCAACTGTCATAGCCGGTGTATACAAAAAGCACTCATACTGCCCAAACAGATCCTCTAGTAATATTGCAAAGTCGAAAAGCTGCAGCAGAAATAAAAAGATTTTCACACAAACAGGCATTGAAAATTTGCACCGTCAAATCCATTATGCACACTGCAGCAACACCAAATCGCACCAAACAATAAAAATAACAGAGCTTTTTTAAAATTTTTGAAAACAACAATATCCACTACAACCCCTTCATCCATATACAAATAAAAACTGGCCAAGATCCACAACAAAATATCAGGTGAATGAAAACAACTTTGTCCTTTCGTACATAATTTTGGTAATATCCTAATCTACCCATAAACTTTCAAAAAAACTTTCCATTAACCTCATTTGACAACCAATCGGCTATGCTGTAGTGATACACCAACGCACATCTATACCATATCAAAAAAAAGAAGTTCACGAATAGGAGAACACAGCAAACTAAAAGAAACAATATTATATACCGGTGTTCTTGCACAAAAAAAACCGAAAAATTTAATTCGTAATAGATTCATTGCTCGGAAATGTGCAAGTAATAAAACATTTCTCAAATCATCATTAAAAATATAATAGGATATGCCACAAGATTGCACTTAAAAAATTAGGAATCCAAAAACACTTTAAACTAAAAATCAGAGTATGACCCTGACAGTTAAGAATAGTAAGAGCAAAACGAAAAATATCAACCTCCTTTGAGCCAACTATGTGTCAAGAATATATCCTTGTCAATGCATCTTAAATACTTTTGAGTACAAAGTGGTTCAAAGAATATTAACTTTAAAGCAACAATTACTAGATACAATTGAAGTAAATCAGCTGAGAGAAAACATGATAAAGTTAAAACAAAAATAACACAATATACCAGGCAAAACTACTTTTTAAACTTAATCCTGCAAAAACAGCTGACAGATTTCTTAATTAGAGCCTCTGCTACACGAGCACATTAATAAGAATAAAATTTAGAATGCCTGGAAAAATGCAGCTTTCTATCATTTTTAGTCTCAGAAACACTCAAAATTTTACCACACGTAACGAGAAACGGCACAACAACAGTAATGTTAACTAACAAGCTATACAAATCAATAATGACTTTTACCCGTATTCACCTCCCAGCACTATTAAGTTCTATGTACAAAAATGATTTACTGAAAAAGATTCGAAATTTGAAACAGCTTTCCCCAGATAAAAAAAGGCTGTTTATACAGCAGAAAAAACCAAACTTACAAAAAATTAAAATTGAAAATGACGGAAAGAATGAAACCCAGTTCCGCACTCGTCATAAGAGCATCACAACAGCCTTTTTCTGCATATTTCGTAAACCATGCGCTTCCTGTAATAAGGCATGTCTTTTTGACCAAAAACTACTTTGGCTCGACGAGCTGCAAACTCCGCAAATTTGCAGGTGAACATTCCACAGTCGCTTCCATTCATTTGAAGGGGTATATCCTATAGAAAAACCCTGAGATTACCAGAAAAAAAACATAAATGTTAAACAAAACTGAAAGAGCTAGAACTTAAATAATTTAGTGTTCCACATACCACTGCGTTTCGGAACTCCCAATCTGTCACTTCAAATGACTTTTTTCTTTTATCTATGGACTCTTCATTTAGATATGACCTTTAAAAAGTTAAGCAATTATCAACAAACACTAAATTCGTTGCTACACAGAAGTCTACGCATCATTTAAAGTTGTATTTAATTGAAAAAGAACAGTTTGCTTCACTAAACAACGACCCAAAATTCATCTGATGACTAATACAACTAAGGAAGAAAAAAGGGTTACTTTAGCAGATCTAAACAATGGTCGTTTGAACCACCAAGCGAGTCGTAGTAGTGAATGAATTTTAGTTTGAGATCAATGACCTAAACCGAATTATAAGACATTACAAAATAAAAAGGGGCAAAAAGAATTCATGAGTGCAATGCATGCTGGGAACTAACAGGTTCTAGGTAAGAAGGCTAAAGCTTTCAAGGTTAAGCTGAAAAAGCGAATGACAAACAGACGGAAAAGGCACTCCTTAGAAATCTACCTACCGCCAAACACCAGTGCGCTCCAAGATGAACTGGCACCAGCAGTATGTCATAAGAAAATATGTCAACTTTTTTTGTCCACCGCTTCACCTTGTTATACCCATGCTGTGCTAGATTTGTATAGAAAAAAGTGGTAAAAGCATAAACCTAAAAAAAGAAATCAGTCCGAATTTTCAGCTTCTTTGATGCCAGTAGAGATATCTTGCGATCAATAAAGTGGCAACAGCAACTCGTGCGAACACCGCACTCTGTTTTACGGGAACGCAAACAGGATTACAAAATATACTGAACACAAATGAAACCTTGGGCAGAGTGGTATCTTGTCTTGCACGTTCACAAACCAGTCCCAAATAAGTATTTATTACTTCATCATTCAACCATTCAAGACCGCGCAGCGTAAGCAAATCCTTCCTTGTAATTCCCTCTCCAAACCTTTTCTCTAGAGGATCACTGCCAAACCAAACGTTCTCAATCGCAGAGAGAGCTTCATTGTCCAAAGCTTAAAAGAACTATAAGAACTATCACGGCAAAGAGGTTCGTTTTTTGATAACAAAAGATTTACACAAAACAATTCGTGTTTCGAGATAGTTCAAAAAGACCTAAATTTTAAAACTGAGAAAATGATTTTTTAATCAGCAAAAAGCAACAGTTTTCAAAAATCATTAAGAAAAAATTGTCTCTTTGAAACCTGGAAATTCTTCAATTTTCTTGACTTTTGGTCTTGGAGGTACAACTTTTCCAATCGTCACTTTTTTCCTAATATCCAATTCCAACGATATTTCCTCAAATCTACGAGCAAATTCCCTGAACAACAATGAAGAAGCTGACTAGAACAAAATAATTCTTCTACTGAAGGGTTTTGTGATATACTTCATCTGTTTTTCCTCCAATAAAGCATCTGCCTTTTTCTGACGAATTTCCGTCGCCACTCTATGTTGGGCACTCCGATTTCTAATCTCTGCAGAACTATCCTCTTCCTCCTCCAATTTTTCAGTAAATTTTTTATCGCAAACCATCCTATAAAACGAAAAAGCGGCATCCTAACGCCTTTCAAGCTGTCAATATGAAAAGATAAGTGCCGTTACGTTAACAGAAGAAAAAATTCAAAAAGTAAAGCCGAATGCTATCACATACGGAAGGTCTTTTTTTGAGAGGGCTTCTTCCTGTTTCACTGGCAGACGACGGTTACCAATAATCCTGACATTTTCTCTGCTGAAATTTTTTATCATAAACGTTATAAATGTTAGTTGAGCTTCCAGTACTAAATATGTCAAAAGTCTGAAACAGGAAACCTTAAGACTACTGCCAAATTCGGAAAATAAAGTTGCAACTACATGTAACATACCTGAAAACAGAAGTAGAACTTTCATTTTTAGTGGTACATGAAGTATAGAAACCAAAATTTTCCACTGGCAGTTCTTCTAGGGCTTTTCTTCCCCTACTTAAAACACTGTCGACAGAAGAACCAGCGCTGTCCCTGTTCCTCTTTCTGTAAAAAATTTTATAGAAGTTCACTGACAAAGTGGTAGCGAATAAAACCAGAAAGACTAAAAACTCAGCTTCAACAAACCTTATGAAGCTCGTATTCGGTTCAGCTAAATCCGATGTATTACACAACAGCTCCAGGAAACTACGATACCTATCCCTGGCTTTTATGTCAAAAACCTTGAAAATTAAAATATTTAGTGTTACAATAGATATAAACAACAAACGGTTCTCTAACAAAGGAATCTCAAACCATCCTCCTAATGCAGAAAACTCGGAATTACAATACTAAATAGCATTTGAAATCCAGATACTGACATTCTTTGATTCTATTCTCGTGACGTTATAATTACAATGATCCTTCTTAAATCTTGAAGAGAAAGCGTCCTCCCTCTGTATTCTACGAAATAATTTTGACGAACATTGCTGCTGAATTCTACAAAAAGCAAAAAACTGTCAACAACTTGTAATAAATGCAACCAGAAAAACCTTCTAAAATCGCAAAAGGAAAAACCTTGAACGTTGGAAAAGTTCATTTGATTTCCTCCTTCCAAACCTGTCACTGTCATTCTTAAAACCTTAAAAATAATCATTATTTAACACACTTTCTTCATTAAGCAAACACCAAATAGAAGTCCCAGTTTTAAGCAGCGACGTAGAAATGAAATCTTGAGAAGAAGGTCAACGAGTTACGACTGTGGTAAAATAATAAATAATTATTACAAAAATGAGGAAAAAATACATGAGTGAAAGAGAGGTGGTGTAAAAGTACGGCTTCTACCACTCCATGAAGATAATGATGATGGAGTTTCGTCGCCCGTATCTGCTGAAGATACCTTCAGATAACCTAAACAGAACACTTTTATAACAATAGTAGCAAAGAAATATAAAAGATTTAAAAGAACTATAACATAAACATACGCTGCCTCAAGGATGAGACAGTAGGAGATTCAGTACTGCTTATAATACTGACTGAATGACTACTGCTTGACGCATTATCAAACTCATCCTTTTCTGCTTTTTCAATTCTGGGTTCGTCAGTGAATTTAGTTTCGTTAACTGTAGAACGAAAGACGGAACGACCACACGTTTTTTGTAGCTCATCAGTGTCTTAAATGACTTATTAAACGCAGTGCTACTAAAGCATATTCTTAAACAGTAAGAAACATACTTGCTTATAAAATATAATGGAGAGATACGCTTAAAAAACAGACAAAACTGAGGTATAAAACTGCGATTAATTTGAAAATATCATGCATCTTCCAAACGCAGGAACCACTGCCAAAGAGGTAGTTTGAGAAGCCTGCTACTAGAACTAAAGCTTCAAGAAAAGAAATACAAATTAAGAAAAAAATGCGGTACCTTGTCCTCCAGAAATTAATGACTTTTGAAACAACAATATCTTATCTCTCGAGACAATAGGAGTTTTCAAAACACCTTTCTTCTCGCCAATTATTTGTACATCATCATTAGTTTCCGATGCTTGCATTTCCTTCACAAAACCAAGCTGGTCTAAAGCTGAAGTAAAATAGAAAAACTTCGTGCCAGAAACATTTGAATAACATTATTTTCCTACATTACCTGCTTTTTCGCTAACGACATTGTTCTCAACTTTTGCATTAAACGTTTCTTCTTCCTCACCCTCCAGCTGACCTAAAAGTAGAATATTTTTTCTATTTCTCATCAGCACCTCTAAACAACAACAGCTCCTTTCTACCCTACCATTTTCCTTCCTGGCGTCTTCCCTCTCAATTGCCTCTTCCAATATTTTAATTTCCGCGTCCTCAGAAAGATCTAAAATCAGAGCATCAGTTCTAGCGATAAACAAAAAAATTTTTTTTTTAATTCTATTCTAATTCGCTTCCTTTTTTTTGCAAAATCCTGATTTTCTTATGTTGGAAACCTTAATCCAAACAGCATAAAAACTAGGGAAAAAACCTACGATTTTTCATAAAAAGCAGTATCTGTGATTCTTTAAATTAAAAAAATAATTCCATAGTAACTTTATCCAAAGCAAGCAGAGAACGATTTTTTCAGCTTAATTTAAATACACATTTAATAACAACAGCAAATAACACTTCTACAAATGAAAAGTCAGACAATTTAAATAATTACGATCGATAATCACTCAACTCTCTCTTTTATTTCTTTTAAAACAAGTTAAATTTAAGTGCTATAATAAAAATTGAAGCGAGAAAAAGAATACTAATGCATTGTAGTAAGGCAAATAAGAAAGTTAAATTTAACAGCATAAAATGTACCACTTCTTAAATTTAAGGTCAAAAACCACTCAATGCAAACTTCATCTTATGTAAGCTCAATTCACCCATCCTGTATCTACTTTTAAAAAGGCCCACCTCTGTGCCTTCGTGAAGTTCTCGCTCCTTCAAAAGAATGTTTTTTGTTCTGAAAAGAAAGAACATTTCCAAATCACGTCTCCGACTATATTTATCGTTCGCTTGTTATAAAAAAAAAATGTAAAACTGCTTTGATCAACTAGAAATAAGCAAACTGGTAAGATGCCTATTCCTCTTACCGAAGATTCCGAGCTGTTCCGAGTAACCTGCATAACTCGCAAAACACTCGTCACTGGCTTGAACGCCTTCGATATGAACGAAGCAATATAATGCACTGCAAGGATGAGTAAAACAGCAATAAAGCAAAATAATCCGTTTTAAAAACGATTCCACATCTGATAATTAAATAACCCTTCGTTGACAGTTTTAAAAATTGTTTGTGCCCCGTTTAGGACTACTGTCCCCTAAAAAGTCCTAAAATTCAACTCCTAACAAATCAAACAGATGTTGAACATTTCACCACGATAATAAATTTTTAATAGAGAAGCTAATAAACTGCCACGCTTTTTAAAAATTCTAGATTTAGGGTAGCAATGACAATAAGAAAGCGACCTCTCACAATAAATGAAACTTATTCCAAAGATAATCACCACCAATAACCTAAAAAAATTCAGCCATGGTGCAAATTCAACAAATACCTCAATGAAGTATATCTAACTAGCTTATTTAACCACGGTGCAAATTCATCAAATACTCCTAATCAAAATGTTTCTTCATTCAATGCTTACCAAACACATTTCTCAACTAGAATAATCAGCGAACTTTGGTAGATGTGTAGCTGTATCTACTTTACAACAAAAACTTCTTTACAGTGCAGATCATATTACTTCACCAAAAGTCCCATCACGTCAAAAAAAAAATTCGATGGTTCCAGAAGAAGGCACCAGAAATCCTGATTTCAATTTTAATTTCTCTAAACTGGCCGTACACTCTTTTTCTATATTTCTTACAAGCGAAATAAAGTTAACATACCGCCACATATGCGTTTGTATCGTTTTCCCGTACTTTGGTATCAGTTTATTCCCTAATTACTTTCCAGCTGTTACTGTTTGTTAGGCAATTCTAATCTTGGATAATGTTAATGATGTTCTTGTCCTTCTAGACAGTTTCGATGTAAAGAGGGACCTTAAGTTCCACTTGATCAGAACTTTAAACCTTCAACTCTGAAATTCTACAGTCATGTACAAAATATAAAAGGCCTCCCCATCAAAAATTTAGTGAAATTTACAAGATTGCATATGACCCAAGGGGTTCTACTTCCCTGTCCTTAAAACAAGAAATATCATCATCCAACTTAAAGAAATAAAAAAAATCTCAAATTTTTTAAAAGGTCATGTGAACTTGAAAAAGTAAAACAACTTTGAAACAGATTACAAGTGCCAGAAGTAGTTCTATAAAAAAACACATTTTAGCAAAAAAAAACCGCTTTTTAAATGAAGATAAGTTTAAACAGCATTACAGCAATATGTAAAAAATCACTCAGCAGCTGTTTTTATTCGACTTTCTCTATCACTAGCACTCGACTGACTTCAACTGATGCTTTCCTGCTTTCGTAAGATAAGAACGCAATCGATGACACCTAGTGGACTTTACGCGTCCTGAAGACTATTACTCGGCAACGTCCAAAAAACTGGTATTTACAGACTTCAATTTCATTTTAGCTCCACTTTTTTAATGTCATTATCAGACCTATACTTAGATATTCCAATTTGTACTACGTTATCACCTCTGCCACTTCTTTCTTGTCGTCTACTAATCCCAGAAATAATTTGCCATTTACTCGCAAAACAGATACAGCAATAAAAACAATTTAAATCAGTATTCTAATGAAAAAATATTTCGTTCTCCATATTAAAAGGAGTTTAAGAAAAGGAAAAGTCTTGCAACAAAACCAAAACTCCGTACCGTTTTCAGACAATTAAAACTTTTAAATCCTTTCAAAATTAAAGAGCAGCACATACTTGTGCAAGAGTCGAAACAGACTGCAATCAACACAACATACAGAGAAAGCGTAAATGAGATGAATCTGCCTTAATGGAATAAGATTTGAAAGTGTAGTCCTTAAAGCAACCGCTACCTGTTGCGAAGACTGTGAATACTGTAGAAGACAAGACAGGAAGAAGTGATATGATGTACAGATTTTTAAAAGCTGACGACCTCACAAAAGTTTTAAGAAGTTTTTTTTTTAAAAGTTTTTTTTCACATAGGTTGTATAAATGCCTCAAAACGAAAAGTAATTTGAATTCGCAACTAAGAGAGCTACTCGAGCCTATCTACAGTTCAGGTATAAACAATAAAGATGAAATTCTGGGAAAATAAAATCTGAAAAATCTTCGGAAACTTGGAAATTGAAAATTCTAACTAAAACAACAGACAGATCTCTATTAAAAAGATGCCAAAAGTAAATTAACGTGCAATATATAAAGTATTTGATAGAATTTTAAAAATGTTTTTCCATTTTCCTATTAAAATAGCTGAAACCGCAAAACAAAATTCTCCTCTTCTTTAATAATTTTGAGACTAATAACTCTGTGCAAAGTTTAATCAAAGCAACTGTTTAAACTGTTCATCCTTATGATAAGCTTATGTGTACACCAAATAACCCTGCAGTAATTTCATTGGAGGAAACAGAAAGCCAACCAACTCATGACAAAAGAAAGCCACCTAGCCGCACTTAAAAAATTAACTTCACAAACCTATGCCCTGGTGACCGACTTCCTCGTTAGAAAAACTGTTTTCTGCCCTCCCACTATTGAGTTTCCGACGTTTTGTGGCAAACACCTCACGTGGCTCATCGTAAGAAATAATAGTTTCTGCCCTTTCAGTAATGAATTTTCGACGTTTCGTACCAATCCCCTCATGCGGCTGAGTGTATCCAGACATTCCAGTGGAGGTAACTGGATCACTCGCCGAAATACGACTGATTCCAGTTTTGGAAATTGTAGATAAGAACTAAATGAAAAGAATGATTGCGATACCAAAGAAATGCACTAATAAAACAAACGGCGCAACAAAACTTTATAAACATTAGCTACTCAAAAATGCCTCCCTTACAAAGCAACTTCAACAATACAAGAAATGTGAGAATGAAAAACCCGTAATACTCGCGAAAGAAAATGAAATCAATAGTGGATTCAATTAAATGAGCATTTCTTACTAATCAGCTGATGTATTTAAGTGTCATACAGTGGCGTTATCAGCTGTTTCAAACTGTTCAAGAAGACTTACAAAGAGATAATAAGTTGAAAAGATCAAATCTCCAAATTTAAGGTTATGTTGCAGGAAAAAAGAATAAGAGTAAAACGTTGAAAAAAGAAAGAACGCAGAAAAAACTCTACAACTTGAGTACCAAACAATAAAGACGAAATAGAGAAGGTGCAATAAAAACATGCTTGTTTAAACTATCATCTTCTGGCCACTTAAATTGTTAATGTATTCTTAATGGAAGTAAGATAAAGGAATCTATACAAGTGACATTCGCATTTATCTGTGAACAGTACTTTTGAAATATTTGATCAACAAGAACTGCAAGGACTAATATATTTTATTTGAAGAATATGCCGCTATATAACAAATCACGAAACGTAAGTAAGAAAAAAAAGTAGCACGAAAGATAACTCAGTAATCAATAATCCTTGACAGTCATACTTTTAGTAATGATCTTAACAAAAAAGCTTCTAAAGTCAAATAACAATTAAAACACCAACGAACAGAAAAAAAAAACATTTTTAAAACATATTTAAAAAAACGGAGAGGAAGGGTTATCGCAACTTTAGTCTGTATTTCAACGGCGGCAGCAACGGCAGCGGTTAATGTGATGGCGCTAAAACGGTACGAACAGCGAAACGAATTTTGCAGCAGATATCTATTAATAGAGAGTATGTACCTAACAGTGACAATAAATGAACGGTATTTGTTGCCATATTTATTGGCAACCTTTCAACTCCTAAAGCGTCGGCATATATAATTCGAGAATGAGGCAATAGTTTATGGCTTTTGTTTGTCACTATCACATTATGTCTTCGAAGGGTAAATTAACATATAAGGAAAAGTCGTCTATTCACTATGTGCAGTCTGCTGAGCCAAAATTTATCCAACAACTAAAGCAACAACTTGGTTACAAAGCTCCAGCAACAATCGAAGATAAGGTGATTTTCTTAAGTCATCCGGTATTTATGCACCTGGTATCATATATCCAGCGTATTAATTCATAGTTAAAATGTTTCCTCTAAACAGTTTTTTTCTACTTTTCAGTTTGCGTCAACTTCTAGTGGTTACATCGAAGATGATAATGAAGATGACGAACTAGAATCTTTAAAGAAAAATGATGGTCCACAAGTGAGTTATCAAAGTTTATCTTTCTTCTGTATATAGTATGCAGTACTGGGAAGTTCCAGTAGGTTTTTCAAAAAAGTTGAATATGAACCCATATCCACACATTTGCATTGAACCAGCAGCAGTCGCAAAAGAATTTTTGAATCTGCTCTACCAAATTTAAACCAATAATAATGAAATATTTTTCTAGCTCAGCGGTCCGGTGCATTTCTTGCATGTGTAACATTAAGAATATATGGGCTATTAAGGATATTGAAATGTATAGAGTTAAATGAGGGCGATCATGTCAGTAACGGTCAAGTTATTAAGGTCGTTGTTTTGAGTGACGGGGATTTGAGCAAGGAGCAGTTGGATGCAGAACTGGAAAAGCAACGAGCTGAGGAGGATAGTAAGTTAATGCACATTGAAAATGAAATATCTTTGCCTTTTTTTCACCGTTTTGTGGTTGATAATTGCGTAGAATGAAGACTGTTTCAAGATTTTGTTTCTTATATTAGAATGTTGCCGTCTTGTCCGTTTATCTATCTCTTAGTTTTTTAAAGGCAGTACAGAAATTTAACAAACGACTGCTTTTATTTGGCGGAAAGACTCAACTTAACTTGCTTATCCTATCAAAAAAATTTTTTTAGGACAAAAGATAGAAGAAGGTAAAATAATTTTTAAAAAACCATTGAAAAGGGCAAAAAATGATGATAGGAAGCAAGGTGTGGAACAGAAGAAGCTGAAAGGAAATGTCGATAAAGAAGCTGTTGATTCAAGATTGCTTTCTTTCGGAGATGATGAGGAAGATGGTTGAACCTGTAATTATAGAGTAAAATTTCCTACCCATGATTGTCACTGTAACAATATGAGTTTAAAAGGCAAAGCTCTAAGTCAATACATAGAGCAGCAGGTGTTACTTCCTGATAGTCAATCAAAGTTTTGAGAAGAAATTTTTAATAGGAGCACGTCTGCACTGCTTCTAAATTTCTGGCAAGTTAGTCACAAGTAGAAAAGACCGAGTGGCTTTTTTGTTGAGAAGTTCGTTATTTGCCGCAGGATCTGACTATCTTAAGAGATCAGCCGAATTGATACAGGTGTGAAGGTCACACTAGCTATATGGGACTTTTGCATGGAAACAGATTTCTCTAGTTGACAATAAATCTTGGACCGAAATTACACATAAAACTGTTGGAGTTACAGGAATGTGGAGACACGAAGCGGTGAGCCTGCAGTCATTTTGCGGGCACTGCATTGTGGTTCCCTGACTTCGTAGAGAAATTCCGTATTACTAGGGTAGTTTTTAGCCTAATTCAGTGAAGCAACCAAACAGTCAAGGTAACGGAAGCATGCTCCTATTGCTTTGTAAGTAAAAGGAGGCGGAAAAGGTTATATTCTTGATTTCTACAGTTTCACTTTTTGTCCACTATATTATGCTTTTGGGTGTAGATATATGATTAAGGGGAAAATTATTAGGAGCTTGATGTTTAGAAGGAGAGGATCTGTACAGAATTTTTTAATATTTTGGTATTTAAAAATAGTATAAAGTTTTGGTAGTATAAAGTTATAAATGAATAATAATTTGGACTTAAAACTAAAGTGTTGCCCTGAGAGTGTTTCTACAGTTTCGCTTTTCGTCTATACTACAGTTAACGGCTCCAAAACACAAAAAAGTAAAACAGGTTAACAGCTGTAACGGTTGTGTAATATGAAGCCAATTGACTTCCCAGGTCTAAGCCCATAGAATCTCGTTTTAAAGCACATATGAATTTTGAAATGCGCCTTTGTTGAAGAAGAATCTAGACTTCACTGAATACCGTAAGTAGCCCGAAAAATGGTTGTTGTGAACTCAGACTTCTAGGACATGAACGGGACAGTACTGTGCGCTGTAATACAAATTAATCAGCCAGACTTATCAGTCTCAAAGACGCTTTCGCGTCTGATACCTAACCGGCGTTTCGTTAACAACCTAAACAATTTCCTCTACACACTGTCGAGAAGACTAGACAATTTTTATCAGAAGAATACTTGAAAATGTTTCCTGTGAAAAAATTAAACAAGTGCAAAACACGTTACTGGGAGCTTACTAAATCAACTTTTGAGAAACTAGAAGAAATAAGTTTTTGATACAGAAGAAAGTCTAGCGAATTTTTTTTAAGTTGGGAAGCTTACTTACTATAAGAGAAATAAAGAACGTTCTTTCACTTCATTGTTAACCATGCATTTTGAAAACGACTGTATGCAAATAAAATCAGGCACTTTTTCATCTGTCATTTTAAAATAGATTTATTACCGTTGGCAAATGATGTTTTTGCAAAAGAATGACAATGCGCTGATATCAGGCGCCTCCTGACACAGAATCGTAACTGTAAATTTTTTTTAAGAATTTTACTTTTTTAGGGGTGAAAAGTATTCTTTACACTTGGCACCAATTAAAATATTGACCTGTTGGGACTTATTTATTTCATTAATTTTGCTTCTACCTTGCTATCTTTCATTGGCTAAGCAGTTTTCAAATGCTTGCTCAGTAAGCAGCTTGAAAGTTGTAAGATAATTTTGCACATGACTGACAAAAAATGAAGAAGATTGAAGACGAGTTTGGAAAGCATATATTTTAATGGTCTTTTGGTGTTTCTTCATAGTTTACAGCTATTTTTAGAGTTATATTTTTAGCATCTGAGTGTCCTGTTTTTATTCTTTAACATCTATCCGTCTACTGCTTCGTTTAGGTATCTGTTTATTTTCCTAAAACCAATTGTTTAGTTATCCATCAAATCTGAGTTTTAATGGTAACGGTCAAGCTGTAAAACAGTGGATTATCGGATCAACAAAGAAAAAACAGGAATTTTAGCTGAAATAGGACACCTCACAAGTTGATACATTACTACAACGTTATTGTTTTTAGCACACAAATCAATTTTTTTAATTACCACAGAAAAAAATTTATTAAATTTTTAACAGGTTTTTATCTGATCATAACCAACGAAATACTCAAATAAATCAGGTATTTTTTCAACATTTACACAAAAAATTCCATCAGCCACTTGCAGAAACATAAAAATTTGATAATTGAAAATTACCAAGTTTTTTTCACCATTACACAACAAAAAGATGTTTTTTCGAAGGAGATTTTTATCTATACCAGAAAACAAGTGTTACATAGTGTTCCTATCAGATGGAAAACAAATATGGCACCTTTTGTCGTCTCTATTGAAAAAAAATGAAAGCAACAGTTTGATAGAATAACTCCAGTACAGTTTAGCCATGTAAGCAAGTACCGGTTGTTTAAATCTCAATCATAAAGCATCAAGATCACAGTTAAGAAATGACTTCATCAAACCTGCTATTTTTTCTGTTCTGATTGGCTCATCTTCCCTAACAACACGTTTAACTGCAAATTTAGCTTCTCTAAAACTGCCAGGAATGTTCTGGTTCAAAAAACAGACGGATATTTCATCTCCAAAAAAAAAAGAGGTAACTATACTTTACATGCCCAATGCTGCGTAATGGTTTAGAGCCATGTAATACAAGCAACATCAGAGCTATTACGGAAATTAATGAACTGAACAAACTTTACAGGTGAAAAATTCATGGCCAGAAATCTGGATGGGCGACCAAACAGTTGCCAATACGAGTGCGCTCCTTTAATGAGTATGGATCGTGAGTATGGATCGAAAAGTGCGTAGTATATAAAAATTTAAAATGTCGAATCAACAATTTCTTCCTGTTAACATCCTCAGTAGTATCAGTGAGCCTCAACTTTATTGGTAAGGGTTAAGGAAAACAGGTCAGAAAATGTTTCTTTTTTTCTCTGTAAGCAATTAACAAGCTACTTTTAACCCGCAAGCACGACATACTCTATCCATTACAAAAAATCCTTTTTCGCTCCTGGCGAGTCTTTTTATGCTAAAAACTACATTTTTTTTTAATTTATGATTAAGTACTTCCGAAATGCACTTGAAAACTAACTATTTTCAATTTTCAGGTCCTCTTTTATAAGTGTAAAAACATAGAGCTTTGCTCTAAAATGTAGACTGTGAACCAAAGTCAATTTGTATGTTGTTTTAAAAGAGCAAATCTCATCTGAGCGGTGTTTATAGAACTTCTTATTTATTTTTAGTTCCACTCTTTCCCCGCTTTTGAAGAAAAAAAATTTTGACATCGTTCACGTCTAAAGTTACTGCTCATTACTTTCCTGAGTGAAGTTTTATGCGCTTGATTGAAGTAAAAAATGTTAGAAAAATTTTAAGCTGAAAATCATTTTTACTAAAAAGCTACCAACAAATTCTTCTGGGAGTTTCCGGCATAAAGTTTGGCTCACTTGTATGTATACAAAGTTCCTATTTTGTTAGGTAAGCAATTTCTGCCCCTACCAAAGAGTTTTATTTTCAGCCGGAGTTCTTTTTTTATTTTTTTGAACTTTTTTTTATTTCGTTTAGAAACATAACTACAGTTAATTCCAAATATTTCTCGTTTCAGTGGTTTTACATTTTTAAAGCTTTTCATTCGCCTAAAAACATTTTATTTAAATAGACCTCCTTTGAAAAACAATCTTGCCTCACTTAAATGATGAACAAAAATGCGTTGTTAAAACTCAAAACGAGAAAAAAAGAATGAGATTTAGACAAATATCCGGCAAGGAATGAATATAAGTATTAATTTTTAGATGCCACAAAAACAGATAAAAGAGAAAAAAAAATGACGCGAAGTTCCAAAACAGTATAAGAAAACATCAATAAATATTTAAGGCATTGCAGATAATATCAGAAACTATCACAGTCAAAAAATGGCGACCTTTGAAATCCAGTTAAAAAAAGAAGTAAGTGAAAAAGATGACTTATGATGTCAGCTAAAACTTAAAACACATCAGGATATGAGAATTTTTTAAAATATAAGTGGTAAAAACTCACAAGAATGATACAATGATCCAGGATTACTAAAATGAGGTGAAAAAACTTAGATCACGACTATCGGGTAATTGAAGCTTAAAAGTTGTAGGATACAAGCAGAACAGAAATTACTTAC